TGAACATTTGCAGACTCTCCAGAGACAAGCATTGGCAGAGCTTGGCAAATCTTTCAAGTAGCAATACTCACAGTAAAATTTAGTTAACAGTGGCTTGTGTACAATATGAAACATCTTCTGAAGTCAGGTTTTGAAATGAACATCCTTTGGGCTCTCCAAAAGCACAGCCCTCCCCAGACTGAGAAGTTGAGTATTACTAGTTATGTCTAATTCTGTACTGTAGGGCTGCAATTATTATTAATAACACTAGAGACTCTACAATTTATAATAGCTGCTATTAGACTCTTGTATCTACAAGAGCATTCTTGACAACCAAATACATGAGCAACTCAACTCTGTATCCACCACATCCAGCTTCTAATCAGCTTTTTAATTTTGTTACATAGATGTTGACAAAAGGATTGTTAAGCAAAGGAGGTACCACCTCATAATCTTCACTTAAGGAGTGTTGAGACAACTAAGAATACAAACATTAATCCTGCTAACAGCAATGCTACACTTTGGTCATTCAGTGCCCAGCTCAGCCACATGCACCTGAATGCTCTAGAGAAAAAGGTGTAGCAGAACCAAAAAGCTGTAAGCTGAATTTACAACTGATTTATCAAAACTGTGATTAAAAGGTGGGCTCTGGGCATTCAGGGAGCAAGTGAGAAAACTGAACAGTAGGCTGCATTTGTGCTAATGAACCCAGGACTTGAAAAGCATGAGGCATTTCTCAAGGAAGCCTGGCAAGGACAGGAGGCAGCAGAGAAGGGCAGCAGGGTAATGAGGGGCAAGGCCAGCTGCTCCTGAAGAAAATCACTTTGTTTTCTTCCTGCAGGCCTTTTGACAAGTGGTACATGTCCACTCCCCCTTCGTTAGTATTTTGACTACAGAGAGACACAGCACTATGGCACTACTGGGGTGTAGAGGGTAAAGCCTTGGAGCGCTCCACAGAAGGAGCTTCATGACTGGGGAGGGAGGGAGATCAAGTACAATGGCAGCAGGGGGGAAGGTTAGACAGCAAGGAAAACTGTTTCAACAAAGGTGAGAAACACACAATTAAATTAACACTAAAACACAGCAAGAAAGCAAACAAAATGTAAACATACTCTAGGAATATGTTTTTGTTTTTTTGTTTGTTTGTTTTTTTTTTCTGGGGAGGAAACAGGAAGAGAAGAGGAAAGAGGGGTGCAGTTTGCCCAATCAGAGCCAATATTTTTGTTGTTGCTGTTCTGCAGTATAAGGGCAGATTCCTTAATAGTTAAAATGAAAATGTCAGTGGGATTGCAATGCATAGTTCCCACTATATGGATTGCACTACATATTTTCATCTTGGCAAGAAATGTGATGTAGATCAGGAACAACAATCCCAGAGTATATTTAGCTACTAAAGCTGTGGCACACAAATGTCACATTCCCATGAGTCAACCCTTTTAAAGAAGCCCCTCTTCACGCCCCCACAGATATTCCCCAAGATGCCTGCACTGAATTAAAAGTGAAGCATATGGATGGATGTGACATCATCAAAGCACCCATGCTACAGAAAAGAAAGCAGCAAGTGGATTCTGTACAATTAGTGAGATTCTGTTTGTGAGCACAGAAAAAGAAAGAAAACACTGTCCAAAGGATTAGACACAACCAAAGAAGAACAACACAAAGTACCTTGCAAAACAAAGAGAAAATGTAAAAAAAAGAGTTTTTTTTCTTTGTGAATGTGTGAAAGTAAAAGAAATCACAGCAAAAGTGCAAACAAAATCTTTATAAAAGGATAGTATGCATAACATTTTCTGATTTAATTTTGTGTAAGAACTCTTTCCGTTGCCCTTTTAAAACAACAAAAAAAAATAGTAATTTTGGAGCCAGCTGGCTCTGACTGGGCAAGGCAAGGAGTAACAACACACAAGTGGATGGTAATGGTAAACAACCATGCGGTCACCTCTGCCGCCATTGTTTTGATTGCGTGTAGACTGCTTCCAGCTTTGTTAATATTCATAATTAGGCACCAAAGAATGCATGATATTTAAATGACCCTGTGAAGTGCTAATAAGGCTCTTTGGTAACCATCACTCCCTGGGGAGGGACCTATTGAATGTAAGCTTCATCAGTCAGTGAGCTGAAGTGAAAATGATTAGAATCCAACAGCTATACATTTATTAATATTTCCAATGCACACTTCTCTGAAAGCTTCTACTGGCATACAAGATGCTTTTAAGAGTTAGCTTTCCATCTATTAAGCATTGCTTCATGAAAGATTTGTGAAGTAGGGACCCACACATAACAAACGGTGCCATTAAAATGCATGCGTCTCTGCATTCCTCTGGGTACATAAAGGGCCAGATCTTTCACTGTGTTTCTGATGTCACTCCCCTGTCTCCCTTTTCTTCTCCTTTTCCTTTTTCTCCTTTTTCTCCTTTTCCTTTTCTCCTTTCCTTTCCCTTTCCCTTTCCCTTTCCTTAAATCTGCTTAATGAGATCCCCTCCTCTCAGGGTAGAGGAAAGAAGATACCACTTACCTTCAAAAGAGGGAAAAATGGACTTTCTAAAAAATGTCCTCTCACCTCAAGCATTTTTTGATACCAGGTGTTACTAACAGACTGGACAAAAAAATAAAACAGCTGTATTTTCTGGCTGTCAGCATTATCACTGATTTATTGCTGAGAAGAAAAAGAACTGCTAGGCAAACCACATGCCATCTTTAGAAGGGCATGCAGGTTTATCTGCCTTCTCTCCTCTATATATCTGATACCCCAAAATAACTTTTTCTAAATAGCCCTTCTACTGCTGGAGAGCAAAGGATAAGGTATTAAAAAATAAGGACAATATCTCAAACTGACCTTAAGTAGGAATATGAATCTGAGCTTTCACCTTCAGCACTCTCAGTCACTTGCACCCTAAGTTATGATTTTGAATTTGAGTTTGGCAGCTGTCTGAAGTTTTTCCTCTGCTGAGGCTCAGCAGCTCACCCACCTGCATGGTGTAGAGAGGTTCTGTGTTTAACCCACATGTACGCCTGTTGGGTTCTAGAAATCCACCTTTTTTGCTTTAGATATACTTTTAATAACCCCAGATGTCTACAGGATCAAGCTCTGACAAAAATTGTTCAAACAGGGGCCACTTCTAAAACCCAGCTGAAAGAAGAAAAGCAAATGGCAGTTTTCCCCTTTTTTATAGGAAAAGCTAATTGCTGAGAGGTGGGAGACAAATCTGCATCCTCTGCCTGAGGGAATTCAAATCTTCATATTCCATTTCCTGTCAATCAAGCCTAAAAGCCAAGGCTACTAGATTAATGTTTGCTACGGCATCTTCAGAAATTTTACTGCATCTCCTGCCTAATTTGACTGGCCTCCTCAGCTGGAAGAGAGCTTCAGGCTCTGTCTCTGCTGGGCCAGCCAGGTGATGCCCATTGCCTTCATGGGTGGGAACCATGAAGGTTCTTCGAGGTCAACCCTAGGGAATTGAGTGAGAAATCCAGGATGTCCCAGGACTGTGGGAGGCACTGTGTATTTGGGGCTGTTGTGAATAGCAGGCACTGAGTTCACAGTCTGGGTTCAAACACTGCCAGGTGTTCATGCAGCTCTGCTGAAAACTGTTCTGTGATGTTAACAGGCTCATCACTCCCTGCTCAGTCTCCATGGCCAATGCAGAGAATTCAAGATTCACTAGGTCAGATGGAGGGGAAGGAATGAGAGTTAGTAACCTACTAGCTTGGGCAGACAAGCAAAGCAGCAGGTCTGGCATGCCAGTAGCTTCTCTAGGAACAGCTGATGCTTTTGTCTAATGAGTTTTTCATGTAAAATGCATGAACAATAGAGACCAGAATCCACATTTCAATTAATATTTTAAGTGTTTCATATCAAGTATTCATAGCAGAAAGGACTGAAGCTCATGTGTGCTTTTGCCCCTGGTGAGTGCCCTAACCACTCGGCAAGTGAGTTTCCCTCATTCCCATCCTTCTTCAGGCCCACTGAGTACTTAATTAGTCCATACAGAGTGAAGTATCTTCAACAGGGAAAGAGACTGAAATAAACTATCTAAGAACACCCTGGAGAAGAGTAGCAAGGACTCAGATCTCTCTAGGCAGTGAAGCTACTTGAACCTAAGTCCCCTATTTACAAAGGAACAATTTTAACTTCTTTTGAGACACAGATTAAAAGCAGATGGGATAACTATGGAGGGCCAAGATGGAATGAGGAGGAAACACCATCCTCACATAGGAGAAAAGCTTCTTCTTCTCTAAGCAAGTACAAGTGGCAAATTTTGGCAATTCTCTGCCTAATTCTGTGTATGTATAGCAAAGGGGGATTGGAGGCCAGAGGACAGGGCTGTCGCTTGTACTAGACCCAAGGGCTCTTCAGCACAAGGGTTGAACACTGTGAAGTGACACCTAACTCCAACCTTTTGATACTTTAAAAATGCAACGCAAAATCTCTCTCCACCAGCAGTCACCTCAGTTAATGATGACCTCAGCCCCTGCTCTCGAAGGTATTTGATGCTCAAGTCTCACTGGCAGCAGGAGTTAGGGCTAGTGTCTAGGACTACTCTTTTACTTCAATGGTTAAACTAGAGCAGACTTTCAGTATCTCTTATCTGTTATTGAGAGGTGGAAGTGATGTAAAATCAACCAAGATCTGCTGTGCTGCCCTGGGGATTCAGACAAAAAGGCAATATAAAAATGCACCCTTAAGATCAATGGGAAGCTATAGATCTTCCTCTGCCTGAGAACAGGGCAGATCAAGTTTAAAGAGAGCTAAATCCCCACTGTTTCCCTCCTACCTGTACACATGCAAAACACGCTCTGCAAAGACATACACTTCAGTTTGTTTTGTGTGGTTTCCTCAGGCAGTGAATTATCTAGGACTGGGACTGAGATTGGCTGTTTAGTTTGAGGCTTTACGATAAGCTTTTAATTATAGCACAGGAGTTTCATTACATGTTACTCCGAGCCAGCTGGAAGCAGTTACACTTTAGTCCTCCCCCCACCATGCTCCTCACCACAGGATGTCATTTCCAAGGCCTTACCCTTCTTGTCTTGATGATTATGGGATGAAACTGCCACATATGGATCTGTATTTTCAGATGAACCAAGCGGATCCTTCCAATCCAGCATGCGTCCCCTAGCATCATAACCCTGTCGAGCGTGAGAGTCGGAAGTGGTGGTGCTTGGGACTAGGGAACTGGAGTGTCCTGTTTACATTATAAATACAGGTAGGGAAGACAAGTCTCATTAGTCACTTACCATGCTATCTTCCCACACTCAGGAATGCACATACTGCTTTGTTTTGGTGATGGGTGAATTTCTTGTCTTAGGCTGAGCAGTGTTTCCAAAGTCCTTCAAAGCATGGCCTCAAGGAAATGGAATTTGAACCTTCCAGATCAGGGTGTTAAAAGGTGCATGCACACCTTTGGCTGCCACTGAGCTGGAGGTTGTGTTCTTTTATTCAGCAGAGTTATATGCATGTGAAAGAGGGTGAGCACACTTCATCTGAGTCAGGCATCCTCCGTCTAGATTTATACACGCCTGACTGATGCTGAAATGTCAGCCCATGTGTCTAGTACTGGCTTAGCTAAAAAGCAATTTTAAAACCAATTTGAAATGGAATAACTTCTAATATGGCTGAAACAGAAGGGGAATGTCAGAAGAGCTATAAAATGGTGACAGCAGTGGCTCTCTGTCCCATGCTCCCAGGGAAATGAAGGACTGCCAGCACTGCCCTCTGGATAGGAGATGTGCAGGGCCCAGCAGCTGCTTGCCCCTGTGTGCACCCTTGCCATTGGTTCTGTCTGAGCTCATAGAACCAGCTGGCTCTGAGATAAGCATGAAGCCAAATATAATTTCTGCTCAGAGAGACAGTGAAGATAACGTTTGACTAAATGGACCTGCTCAGAACCCGTGACTCCAGCGGCTGATGGACAGAGGTCTCGCATGCCTTTTTTCCGTTACAGCTACTCTAGACATTGTTACTGTTGTCCTGAATAAGGCTGAGAAGTTCCTTGCCTATCAAATACATCCCAACAAACAGCACATTCATAGGACATGCCCTGATGGAAACACCACACAGTTTTACCAGTGATTTGGCTGGGTAGAGCCGTGTCTGTAGGCTCACACATCTTTCGCTGCTGGATCGTGAGAAGTATGTCAGCACCCAAAATGCTTGGATTGCTTGGAATCTGCCATCTCTGAAAGATGGCTCCAACCTGGACTTCCCAGTGGCTTGGGTTGCTCTGTCGCTATTGTGATGGGGACACCAAAACTCCATCCATACCACAACATTTTGACCTCAAAACTGCGCATGTCTCTGAAAGCTCTCTTCTGGCACATGTTTCCAAATGAATTCTTTTCAGTGAGACTCAAGGAGCCCTGGGCCTAGTTAATTTGATGTGAAGTAACTTCCCTTTCCTACCTTCCTGAAAGACACCATTGGAAGGCGTTTCTGAAACATGCTCAAACACAAACTAAGAGAAGTGGATTATTCACAAGACAGAATGGCAGATAACACTTAACTCTTTGGATAACACCGGACAGACTGACAGCAGCCTTCCTTTCTCCTGCATCCTTTATAACAGCCCACCAAATTTATTTTCCTTCCTTAGACGTGACTCCTTGGAAAGGAGTCCAATCACCAGGCTACACATTGCCCAAGCAGTGACCATCTCCTGGCTCCTTCTCTTGACATTGTTTCACTGCTCAGAAAAATAACTTGAGACTCACTGGGGCAGAGATAGAGCAACACAAGGAGCCCAAATTTAAAGCCTCACAGAGAAGGCACAGAGCTGGGCAGTTAGAGACTGTGCTTCTGTAGTTTGTTTTAAACAGTCACTGGATAAGCACAAAGCTTTTGGACTCTGCATCTCAAAAAAGGCTGCTTTAAACAGCTTTTAAAGCCATCCAGACCCAGCTCTCAGATGCACAAGAGAGCGCTGATGAACCCAGTTTCTCTCCTTCAATCAAAAATCTAAATGTTGGCCACCAATGCTGCCAAGCTTTACAGGCATCCATGTGCTTTGTTTTATCCATCCCTTTCACTACCTTCATGGGGCTGAACTACTGACAAAGTCAGCAAAAAGGCTGCAACTTCTGTTAAGATGCTGCTGTGATTTAAAGAAGTCCTGATGAATATTAATGATCTTACAGGAAGAAAATGTCTGCAAGTCTGTATATTTTTGAGGAGCCCTTTTAAGTTACTGCACACAAATATATATAGCAGCACTTTGGACAGTGTTTTGCATAGAATACAGACAAAACTAACTCCTGTAACTGGTATACTTAGCAGGAAAAAATTGGTCAAATTCACAGTGTTCTCACCATGAAGCCAACCTTTGGCTACTACAGCTAATAATTAACACAGTTTAGCTCTGGACCTCAGGCTGAAGGCATATGCTGACAAGGGCACTGGATTAATTTTTACCTCTCATGATAGGTACTGTGGTTTCTCCCAGCCATCTTTCTTTAACACAACAGATTAGAGGCTGTATTTTGTTGAAGAACTTTTAATGTTACTCAGATAGAGAATAGAAGCCAAACACTATCCACTTCTAAAAGGTTTCAATAAACCACAGCATGGCTGGGAGCATTGGTAACAAACATTTAGATGGGCGATACACTCTGATCCAAACATGCTGCCTGCTCTGCAGCAGTCCTGCAGCAGGGCTGCTTATTTCCAAAAGGACAGGTAGAGGTACAGCAACTGAAAAGATGTGCCCTCTTGAAGCAAGAATACGCTGGAGCGTGAAAGCGTTCAACTCTGCACCATTTTACGCTTGTCAACTCCTGTGCTCATCCCCAAGAAATAAGAGAAATAACTGGACAGAGAACAGGCCAGAAAATGGAAATCAGGAGATTTCTATGTCTTCTTTTCCCTGAGGACTAAACCACAGTGCCAGTGTTCATGGGGTTCTCCAAGTCTCCAAGTTAATACCCCATTCAGCAACCACAATTATGTGAACAATATTGGTCAGCCTGCAAAAAGTGCTGCATGCAACATAAGAAAATAATTAGTTGTAGCTTGATAAGGAGGCAAAAGAGAAGAAAATCTTGCCAAGTAGCAATCATATTTTATGCCTGTGTTTGATATGCGTTTATATACTCATATATATCTTTGCCCAGACACTTGCACTTTAGGTGTGCTTAAAGGGGGAATTCTAAAGAAAAGCCGTAAGTATGGTTAAAGAAAAACATTCCTTAATACAGTAATCTAGAGGAAATATATGCCAAAGGGACACATTTTCTGGGGAAAAAAAATAATAAAAAAATTCCTGAACCATATGCTGCAAATACACAGAAAACTTCTTTGTAATGGAAAGCTAAGGCTTTGTGAAGATACTGATGTGTACCAGGTGGTCGTTAGGTAGAGAAGAGTTTCACACAAAGAAGAAATCAGTCTATGCACTCTGTTATACTAATGTGTTAGTCTAGTACACACTGGGAAACAACTTTCCACACCTAACGAAGACAACCTTTCTTCCACCTGACTTTGGGGAAACAAAGCAGGAGTGGATTAGACCTTAATAGCCTGTCTCACTTGTGTTAGAGCTGTATTCTGCAAACGCTTACTACTGGACAGTGGCTGTTCCCATAAGTGGAATCATTGTGTCCTGTAAGTGCCCTTACAGCCAGTACTGCTGCATGAACTTCACCTCTGAGCACAGTGGCACCACAAATGCATGAGCTAGTTAAGTTTCTCTTAAAACAGAGAAAAGACTGAAGTGGCAGGCAATGCAGTCCTGGCCCTTTCACACACAATCATTTTTAAACCTTTACAATGTTGTACAGTTTGCAACATGTAGTGAGCCTTTTTTTTTCCATTATACCATTTTTACCTTTGTAAATAAGGTTTCCTGCAATTTAAAGAGAGTTTAAAATTTTGAGGTGTGCTCAGGACCTCTATGTTAATATTGGTTAATACCTAAATATCTAAGAAACAATTCTGCCTCTGTTTTAAAACAAACCACCTGAAAACCTGCAGAGACAGTACTTTTCAAACTTACATGTTTAAAGCAAACATGTAAAAATCAAAACAGGCACTCTTAAGAAAAAAAAAAAAGCCCAAGTGGTTTATGTGCTTCCATTATTTGGAAAAACTTTTCATTTTGAGTACTGTAATCAAGTAACAGAAGGAGAGTAAAAGCACTTAGTATCTAAAGGCATGGATAATGATTCAGAAGGGCTGCAATTCTGTAACTATAGCTCATTCTGAAGTGTACTTGTAAAATATAAGCAGGTGTTTTTCAGGTTTAAAACAAAGACAGGTATTCAATACATATTTGATAGTTGCTCTAATATGCGCAAGTCATTAGGATCTCAGAGGTTAAGATGTCTGCACACTATCCTATTAACAGCTATAGCAACCTAATCAGACAATTAGAAGGAAAGGCTAAATCAATACTACAGAGGGAGAAAGAACTATGTCTAGGTGGTAAAATAAGGGCCCAATTCACTAAGGATTGATGTTTCCAAAGGTAATTGAAGCTGCTTGAAATTTTGCAGAAGAATCTAGCCTAATCTCCTTGTTTAAATATGTGGTTCTTGCATCATTTCTCTCTGATGCTCTGCAGCCAGACCTTCAGCCTGCTATCTTCTCCTTGGGTTTCAAAAGGGATGCACTTAAGCAGTCACCTGTGTGGATTTTACACTTTACTTGTTTACAAACCATCACGAGACTGCCCCAGAAAAGGGAGGCCACCTGCCAAATTCAGGAGGAGGCTGATTACAAGAATACAAAGATTAAGGGCTTGGTTCTTCTTTCATTCATAGTGCCACAGATGGGGAGTAAGCCTGTTGAAGTGAACAGATTTACAGTGGAGTAAATCAAGGGAATCAGGCCTTATGACATCTTTTGCAACTGGTGTTTCAAATGCCTTTAGATACATTTAGTCTACTGGGTTCAACAGCACCCTGAGCATTCACTTGTTATTATTCTGGTATATCCCAGCATGCTGCGGTTTAATCTGTTAAGAAATATAATTTGATTATGCATTTAACTGTACTCAATAAAAATGCACCACTGATAAAATTTTCATTTTCTCAAGAAAAAGATTCAGAGCAGTCACTACCGTTACCAAACATGAGCATGTTTACTGAGACTGGTTTACTACCTCATGCTGTAATTTTATACACTCCTTATGTGGAAGATCAATAGAGGTGACTAGCACATTTCCTTTCATATTTTGCCATGGTAGGTAAAAAAAAATAATAGCAATAATATCAGAATGGGTATTTTCACTAAACCCATAAAAAGAAGAGCTGACTTGCCTAAAGACCACTTTATCAGGATATACCTGAGAAGGGTCCGTGAAGTCATCTGTGAAAGACAGGGCATAAGTGGGAACCAGTGCTAATGTTGGGTCTGCATTTCTCCACTGCATCTGCCTGTAGGGTCCTGCTCAAAGAGCTGGGTTAATTCCTGGAGTCTGTCTTGCCTGTACAGTAAAATGGACTCCCTTTTTACCTGTACTCCCACCTTTTTTCACTTTGCTGCTCCCTTGAGTAACTTTTCAGATTTCCTGGTCATATTAAAATATCAGCTTTTGCTAAAGTCCCTACTAATATGGTAGCTGATGGGATCAACAGCCACAGCCCCACAGATGTAACTGTTCAGCCTACAAATGTGCTTTGAAGCAGGAAATCTAGAACATTTCTGGTAGCACATCAGCACTACGCAAAGGCCATTTTCTTTACCTTTACATTCAGCAGTACGAATTTAATTATTACTATTCTTTAATTACTGTTTTGTGTATTGGAAATACAATTTTCAAATGAAAGAAAGTACAAGCTGTATATGCAGATGAAACCATGAGTCTTCCACACGTTATGAAGTTTCAACTTGTCTTTGATTTTGTACATTGCCTTCAATGGTTTTCATTATCATACTTTCAAACAAGTTTCACCTGCACATTTTCCATTTCCCAGTAATAAAGAACATGTTGAATTTGATTTTATTTTTACAAATGCTGAACAGCATTACTGTGCCTCCAGTTATTTATATTTTGCTGTACTGAGCTGTCATTGGTTCTGGTTTGTACCTACATGTTTTGCAGGCACAAGATGAAAGGCTCTATTAAATGTCCATAGTAACTGCACGCTAACCTACCTCTTGCTACATTCAGCCAAACATATGGTGGATCTGCGCTACCGCTGGTAGTCTTTTACAGCCTGCAAACAACTTCACAAGCAAGCTCCCATTCCACATGGAAATTCTGCATTGACTTCACTGGGAACAATACCACATATCCTCTTAGCTTGTGAATACTTGTCTGTGCGCAGGATGCATATAAAGACAAACTACTGCAATATAGGTGTAGGTTTGAATTTAAAGTGATTATTTATTTTGCAATAATTCCTCATGAAGACATTTGTTCTGCACTCCAAGTACTAGAGTAATCCACTTCCAAATACACAGAACGAAGTAGTGGAAAGCACTATGAGTACAGATTAACAGCTGCCTCATGGGAAACTGCTACTCTAGTCTTGCAGAACTGCTCCTCTTCAGCTCAGGTAATTTAATTTGCTATGTGAAACCCTTTTTTTTTTTCTTTTACAGATCAGATACTGCGAGCTTGGGTAACAGAAATGACTCACCCTAGCAGTGCCCTGCAGGAGTCAAGGCATAACCCAGTCTCAGCTCACATGGTTAACAGGTTAATTTTCCTTCTGAGAGATCTTTCTGTAACCCAGGGACAGTTCTGCCCCTTTCCCTGAGGCATATCTGTCTGCTGCAGCAGTCATGACACCAGCCTCATGACAAAACATGAGTGGGAAGCTGCTGTCTTGTTATTCCTGGCAGATAGGTAGGATGCATCATTGTACCCAAGTGTTCCTTTCTCTTAGTGTTCAGATGAAGCATGCTCTTAATGTCTGCTCATATCCTATTAAAACAGGCCAAATCTTACTTCAATTCAATGGAGATAGTTTTGAGGGAAGACAAGAAAAGACGGATTGAAAATCAAGAGGTATGACTCAATCTTAATTGTGATTAGTGAATCAGGCCCTCAGACCAAGACAAAACAAGTATTAAAGGGCAACAACTATTTGAGTACAGAAACTACTAGCTAAGACAAGGATCAGGAGGAATTTTTAAAAACACCCATAAACTGACCATACACTGTGTCGTAAGACATTTCATGATCAGGTGAAGCTGTTGAGATGTCTATGAACAAAATAAATTCGGAAGAAACATTAAGCAAAACGAAGTATGAGAATACTTAAGATTTTAGTAAAAGTGATTCTTCCAAAATGGATTCGCTGTCAGTAAATAATGAAACTAAGAACTTCCTTACCATTCAGGGCTACGAAGGAATCTGAAAGACAAATAACAGGGGAAAAATCATTATTTTTCTCTTTTTTATTTTTTACTCTTTTGCTGCTAGCAATCTTCTATCCTACAACTGATACTTGTAACTATGTGATTAGTACCATAATGACCCAGGCAAAACTAATATTCAGACATACCTGAAAATAATGTCTGTCTCTGAAAGTGTTCATGGCCAGCCCTGTGCAAGGGAAACCAACTGGGAGGGCCAATGTCCTCCCTGCCATGGCTTTCTTTGTAAGATCAAGTCTTTAACACGGGGCAATACAAATGATGCAGCTAGCAGTGGGAGTCAGTGAGGACAAAACTCAAATGACCCAAGACCACATGAAGTAGTAAGATCAGCTGGGTTATCAGGGAATGAAACCTACGCCTTTGCAGTGTCAAGGTTCAATGCATCATTAAGGGCTAAAGAGGGATTTAAGCAGGGTATAGGCTTTGACCTCTCTGCACAGAAACAGACGTCTCACCATGAGCAAAACGTGCTGTTTCTGAATAATTTCCTACCTTTATTTTATATTTAACTCATATTAGGTACTCTTCACTTTTGTCTAACCTATTTGCCCAAGGAGAACAGAGCAGTCTGAAAGGGCAAAGTTGCATCAGCTGGGAATTGACCTGATTTTGGTGCTAACAGCACTAACAGGGAGAACAGGAGGGACTATGTGTACACCTCCTTCAAAAAACTTTGAGACACCCTACATAACCCTGTCTTAGGGCAGAGAAATGTGTAGCTGAGATGAAGGGAGGGCATGCAGAGGCTGAATCCTTGTACCCCCCAAGCACAGTGACCACAGTAGTAAGCGGCTCTTGAACAAGGATGCACAAGGCATGAGAAGGCTCTGTCTTTCTCCAGAGCAGCTGGCTAGCACTGTATCCCACGGCACATTCTAGCCCTTTGTTATTTTGTTCTGTATTCCAAAAAGTAATGACTTTCTCACTGTACATTACTTCCTCAACTTCAGTAGTTTTATTGCATGTACAGGCATCAGTGCAAACTGCACTGAAAAGAATGTGATTCTTGATTTTGTAAGGTTTATAAATAATATTTGGGGCTCAGAATTACACTTGGCAAGAACATTCAGAAGAGCTGCCCTGAACACAGACGTTGGTATTCCTGAAGGTTGAGAAACCAGCATGTAAGGTTTCTTTGCATGCAGTGCAAACTGCACACTTTTAAGCACCTCAGTGCAAAACGTAAATGTTTAAAGACTGTGTTTAAGCTTCCAACTCAAGCTGTCAGTGCCTAAGGTTTACCATTAATATTTCTTAGGCAGGGCCAGTAGTGACTGGCTCTTAATACCGCTATGTTGTCCAGCTTGTGTGTAAAATCCACTAAGGTTCACAAAGTAAGTAGTTGCCACTTCTTGATCTGGATCCAAAGCTGAAGATATATTTCACTCTCTCCCTGTCCTTCATGGGAATGTAGTACAAGTCACATTCTACATAAAGAAACCAAACTGCTTCTTGTGCAACTACGTAAACAATCCAACTATGATGGGTAACAAAGACAATGAACACCCAATTCATTATGTCATTGCTACAATCAACATCCTCTAGAACTGAGGTTTTCTCACTACATAACTGCTTTGAAGTCTGGTGTTTGCATAAATCACACCAACTGGGCAATTTTCCTTATATACATTTAAACAACCATTACTCTTCTGAAACTGTATCATTAGCTGTCATTGCTGTCCTTGTTGTGGCTTACGTATTGCTACCAAAGAAAGCTCAACAGGTAATGGTGATTTGAGGCATTCAGAAGAACGCTGTGACACATGGTAAATACAGGGTAAAAGATTTGCTTACTTTGGCAGTCACCCAGTCCATCTGTATTGCCATGTTCTATGTCCTGTTCAAATGCCAGTCTAAATAATAGGAAAATACAAAACAGTATGAATAACAACAGTCGCAGGCATGACCAAAAAGAAATTATCAAATGTTCAACTGAAGCCCTGCCATTTATGGCCATTCCTTTGGAACTTCCACAAAAAGGCTAAAAAATTGCTACACAGAGCTATTTATCATTGCTTAATGATTTCTTGGCTTCTGATAATGCTGCTTCTTTACATTATTAGTTTTTAAAAATTCACTGTATGCCTTGTTGCCAAGGGAGGTGAACAGATTCCAACCTTTTAAACTCTTAACTCTATCATAAATTATATTATCAGGAGCAATTATGATACTACTTTGACTTGTCCATATAGTAGACAAGGTGCACTGATATTTGATGTGAGAAGGAAGGTCACCCATTGGGTAGTTGGTGTGCTGGGGAAAGATGACCTGTGTTTGAACAGTCACTTAGGTACTGCGCTAGATGAGGATGTAAGGCGTTAAGTACCAGTCCACTGATGGCATTCCACTGAACTCAAGGGTCTTTTCTGAAAAACACTCACAGGCTATTTTAGCTGGCATGCCCAATTTACAGTGCTAACATCTGCCTGTGATTCTGGATAACTAGTGGAGCTGTTCTTCCAACTTCCTGTACAATTAAAGATGAATGACAAGAGCCTTGGAAAACATCCAACACAAGCCCTTGTCTGCATTAGTTAGGATCCTGCCCTTGAGGCATAATTATCCTTGCAGGCACCTCATTCCCAACTCCATGTTCTTAAAACTCCTGCTCAAGTGTCACCTACTCCAGGAAGGCACCTAACATCTCTGCTAACTGTTGGCTAGTTTACAAGTTCCCTAGACATCTTCTCTGCTGAGCTGGATCCCCTTCCTAAATGCTATGTGCTGGATGGAGAGCGACCTGCCTTGCTCACCTCTGGAATGCACCACTGCAAATTGTGCTGCCTCTGTCTCTACAGATCTATTGATAAACATGGAAGCTGCTTTTATAGTAAGGTATGTAAGTTCCCTACAACATGCCATCGAAGTGCAAAAAAGACTCAAGCATTTTGGGAATACTGAGAAAACCTGGTATGGACACAGGTCAATTTTAACATTATTCTACTGAATGTCCAGTCAGGAACAGTCCACACGCTCACAGTAAAGCATATATATAAAAAAAAAAAAAAAAAAAAAAGCTATAGCATGCCCAGTGGCCAAAACCATTTGAGTTGAATTAGGAAACAAAGAGCAAGACACAAGCACAGGAATAGTACCTCATCCATTACATACTGAAGACCCGTTCAGGAGCAGGGTTAAGTGTGGAGAGCTGTGGGTCTGTCGAGGTTGTGTGGTGGTGTGCTACACTTGCACCACTACCCTGAGGAAGTATAGCCACACCTTAGAATGGGCAAGCATGAGGTGTGTCAGGTGGCCAAGAAATGATATCTCTGAAGGGGATCAGCTCCCTGCAAGAAGGCTTTAGTAACCACATTTAAACAAACCTTCACAGACTTTCATTATTGTAAGATACGGTTAAGGATGCGGAGATCCAGCACTTCTCTGAATCTGCTTTAAGCTCTTACTTTGTTCTGATTCCTCTTAGTAATGCAAAGTAAATTAGAAGGACTGGTTTTGTTTTCAATGGACAAATTGCTTCAGTAATTTAATTTGGATTCTATTGCCTCTTTAATCAGCTGTGATGGCTCCAGCGTGGGCTGGTCCAGATATACCCATCCAGTTCCCTCCTTTCAATAACACACAACCTTAGTACAGCTCTTTCATTTTCTTCCTCCTTCTCCTTCAGCAGTTACCAATCAGCTGAGAGTTCACATCAGAAAACTCTGTGAGACACTTCAGGGTTGAATGCAAATAAGGTAGAAACAAATACTTCCCACATTTTTCCCTTCCTAAGAGCTCCATGTTTCACATAGCTCTGCCCAAGACTGTCCGGCGCCACTGCCAGACCTTCACGTCCCGTCCAGCCAGAGCCCTTACTCACTTGGAGCCAAGGACCAGCTGTGTGCACACTCCGCTCTCCTTCATCCACCCGCAGTATGGGTCTCTGGATGCTATGCAGGCCCTTGAGAAAGAAAAGCACAAGGTGGCATTCATGAGTGCTTCCACCTTCCCCATGCCTGCAGTGCCAAGAAAACATGCACTGACAGCCACCTGAAAACACGTACTTTTTGCATTTGCCATGACGCTCGCAACGTCCCAGGGGAACCTTGATGACACAGGTGGAGAAGGCGACATACAGGGCACTGCTGGGCTTGTCAAGCTGCATGCCCACAATCCGCTTGTCCTCCACACCGTCGTAGCTGCACCTGATTCAAAAAGAAGTTTCAAGTGAGTTCTGCTGGGAAATCAGATGAAAACTTAATGAGTCCTCAATCTAAAGAATAAAACAAATCAACCCCAGAAGCTCCCACAAAACAACCCAAGAATGGCAGAATTGAATACAGCAAGGAAAGGACCACACAATATAGCCACTAGAGCCACTGATACACATAAAAGTGAGTATTAAAAATACATGGGAGAGAGGAGTAAGAAGTGGAGAGAGACGGCACACCAGACAAGCTTTCTGAAGTGCCCTTCATATTTTTGTGTTTATTCTTCTCCAGCACTCAAAGTAGCTGAAATTTCTACATGATTATGGCCTACTTCAAAGCCCCCTTAGGCATATTTGAGGAAGGTTGAAATGCAGGAAATTTCCCTTGGAGAGCAGCTTGCTGGTTGTTGAGTTATTTGGAGAGGAATCAGGTATTTTTTACAGGATTAGAAAATTAATCTTCCTTTGCAGAATGTACTTTTAATTATCCAGCAACTGCTGCATAGGATGGGCTATTTTCTACACGTACTGGAAAAAAAAATAATCTTGCTGTAATGTAGAGACTGATAAGCAGACATCCCCTCCTCAAACAATTTAAAATTACTCAAAAAACTTGGCTTCTCTAACTATTTCCCTTTTCATGGGACAACCTACTCTGGGAAACTGGAAGTTCAAAGTCACCCATACACAAGTACAAAAAGTCAGATACACACTTTTCAGGATTGTAAATGTTCATCTCCTCCAGGAAAAGGCTGTCATTTAGGAAACCACTGTTTCCTGTCCGTGCCAAAAACTTCAGGATGATTCCCTTCTCTGATCCCAAGAAAACCACAGTGTAGTTCTGATATGGTCCAGCAGCAGAGTCCACGGCAATTTTGGTCAGGCGGTATCTAGAATAGCAACACGGCGTTTTGCATCACTTGGGATTAGACTGCCATTTATTTTATTACATTTTCCATTTCAGAGAACTGCGTGGTAGATTTCTAGCAACCATGTAACATATTTAAGCACTTTTCCTAGCTGAATAACCCTATAAGTCAACACAGCACCAGTCTGGCTACCAAATGGTGGGGAATTTTCGTGTGTCCAACAGCTAGCAGAAGTGTTTGCAGATAGCTGAATGGGGCCATTTAGGAATTCCCAATCAAAAGCAAAGTACTGGCCTGGTGAGTTCTTCAGGCAGGGAAAGAAAATTAGCACAGCGAATTTTCTATTTCAGTTTCAAGCTCTGTCACATTAAAAGCAGCAATAATGATAACTGATCTACATCCAACTTTCTTGGCAGGAAAAGCTGTGTCAGTGCAATAGTGAAAAGCTAAAATGCCTTTTTCCTCACTAAAAATAATCACACAACTGCCACTAAGTGAGTTGGGTGCCTGAGATGATACTGAATCTTGGGATAACACAATTTGTTGAAACTGAGTATTGGTGATTTGGTACCAGTTATTGGGTACTGGTGATCAAAGGAAAGTGTTTCGTAGAACTTGCTGCTCTCACCTTTGGTTAAAGGTATAGAACCTGACATAAAAACCTGACAGAAGATACATTACTAGAACTAAGTCACACCCTTCCAAAGCTAAACAGCACCTGGCATAAAACTCTACCCTTGTTCAGAGGGAGTGAGAAAAATAGGCAAAAGTTAGTCACTCTATTCTTTTCACAACTGAATGGTAGATAAGTAGTATAGCGACCACAGCAAAGACTGGGAATGTATTTGATAAGAAGGGGATGGTGTACTTGAGGCTTGCTGATTTATGAGTCTTTGTTCAAATCCCTTCATTATTACTTTTCTGTTGTTGCCATAGAAAGGATACAGATTATGTGATTACTTCTGCCTGTACACTTCTGTAAACATTAAAACATACCAGTACATAAACCGACAGACATCTTCATATCCTGTGAACATATCCTGGCAGACATATTTGTATCCTGTGTACATATCCCTGGGCTCTCTGCTGATCCTTGCCCAAAGTTTTCTACCAAGCTGCCTCAAACACTTGACCCATAAGCCAACAGGCAGGGTCAACCTTCCCCTCACAGCATTTCCTCAACATCCGGTTTCAGCACAGTGTGGTTGGAAAGGACTGAGGTTTTTTCCTGTCTACCTTGAAAGCTGCTCAGGGAGTTCTGCAACATCTGCTCAGTGCTGCCATCGTCCCTACTTTGGATTCATGCCCAGCACACCAAGGATGTTTACAGAGTTTAGGATTATTCTGAGCAAGACCATCAGCACAACTTGACAGCCACAATGAGCGCAAGAGGTACGTACCTGACCATAGTTCTCAGGAACCAGGGTCGATTGACAATGGAAGGTACAGCCTCGTCCATCAGAGGATGTGTTTTGATGAAGTTCAGAGTATCATCTGGAAACTCGTTAGAGGTTACGTATTTTTCTAATGACATAGAGCCAGCACAGCAACCAGGCCTAAATAAAACAAGAGGGTAAAGCCAGAACACTTGATGCCTAGTGCAAATCTCCTTTTGTAATGAGGCCCTCAGTGAAATCTGACATGCATTACAAGGATTTAAATGGGGGATTGAGAAGTTTGGTGTACTTGTTCAGCCCCTCAGGGAAGGCCTAAAATCCTGCTATATCCTCCACACAAAAGGACTTAACATGTCACCTAGAAGCACAAAGACAAATTTCTTTATCAGGAGTGTGTACTTCATCCACTGACATGGAACATAATCACTGCATGTGAGCATGGCTTGATGGGGCAAGGTGCAAGGGGCTTTCTGATCTGTAACTATCCTAGTGGGCTGCTCTTTCCTGGAATAAAGGCAGTCCCTAACATACAGAAGGAAGTTGATCTTTTCAACATCTGTGAAAGAAAGTCGTTATCAGTCCTGTCAGGTAGAAAGTGGACTATCGGAGAAGACAACCCAGCAAGCACACGCGTAAACATAGGTTTTACCCTTCTTTCAATTTGGATGAGACAATTTAAATACAGTAAAACACTGAGGCTTTTACTAAAACATTATCTAAATATTCTTTGGCAACTTAAATGCAAACCTGCTCACCCTATTTCCTAAAGTCCACCCTGCTCTTCACAGGTAAATTAAACTTTCTTTCTGGAGAGGTCATCTCTACACAGGAAGAAGCAAAATGATTCACCTATTATTAATATTTTGTGGGTTATTTTCACCAACAAAAGGTCCATTTGCTCCCATTTCATAGAGCACTATGATTCTTCAAGCCTTTGAGCCACTGTGAGATGGGAAGATAAAAGATGGACTACCCACTCGTAAATATGCTGCAGTGTCCAATTTTCATCTGATTTGATGTGGGTAGAGCCACCATCATGAATGGAATAATGCCAACTTGAACAAAATATAGAGTGGTTCTGTCATATCTGCCACTTAGATTTAGATAAATATTCAAACCTTAGGTATCTAAATGTTATGTAGGAAGGTAGCATAGGACTGGAGATCAGTTGGGTCTGTGGGTCTGGTCCTATACAGCTGCGCAGTAAGCACTACATGTAGAGACTGTGTTTTTTTCTTTTCATATCCAAAATATTTTGGTTGTTTTGTAACTGCATATAGAATTAGCAATAGAGGTAGAGAAGGAGAAACCAGGGGCATCACCAGTCCTTGCCAGGGCACTGATTCATAAGGTGACATTCTCAGATAACTCTAGGGAGTAGCCTACCCCTTTTGGCACCATGGTCCCTATTGTTTATGTATACCTAATCTGGAGTCCTATTTCCTCCTAAATGCTAATCACATGATAGGACTAATTCTTATTTTTTATCTCAAAACTGATTTAATTGAATAAATATAAACCCAAGTAAAGCCTGCTGTGCATCTCAGCCAAAAAGGGAAGCGAGGCCCCTGAAAGGCTCAATGTGGTTCAAAGAAATGTTAGGATCAATTGGAGCAGTAATGTTTCTGCACCATAAAAAGATACCCAAATAAAACTCATATTATTTCAAAGGCGCTTTTTGGCTCTCATGCATTTCAATATGATTATTTCTACTAAGCAGATTAATGGCCAAATGTTATATGAAACGGTGTTCACCACTTCAGTAGTGGCTAAGAAGGAGATGTATTTTCCTGCCATCGTCATAACTGTTAGCTTGCTATTGGCTTACTCCACAAACTTCTAATGCAGCGCTCTCTCCTTCCTTCCCATCAGAAGAGAAGATTTCTCTCTTCCCCTTCCCTGCCAGTATTCTCTGAGTAAGGTCCAAACATATGACCCTGGAGCCCTCACGCAGCCCTGCACTACCAAGGGAATCCATTGTGTCAATGAATTGTTGAAACACTGCAAAAAGGAGAAGAAAATCCAGCAGCAGTGCTAGCAGGTGCCTTACTGAGGCTCAGACTGAAAACAGAAGTTACCAGATTTTCCAGTCATCTCCAGGCTCTTCTCTTGAGTGACAACTTCAAAATAAAGACAGCACAGGAATACTATATTCGGCAACTCTAAAACATGATGGGCCAAATCTGGATTTAGGCAGAGACTCAGTTGTCACTAAAAGGTTTCACATAATTTTTAATTCTGAGGTTATTTAGGATACCCCAAGCAATGTAAAACATACATTAAAGTGGTAGAGCTCGACTGAGATAAATTAATTTGCATTAATTTACATTCCTATCATGTTCTCAGGTTAAAGTGCCACTGGTGTAAATGAGTCAACAAGTGGCTGTCAACAGCAACCTGTACAAAACGAGAGCTTGTAGGAAATACGAAGAGGGTGTAATAGAGGAGCCACATGCAAAAAGGATGGAAGTGGAAGCAAGGAAAACAACTCATAGGAGGAATGAGGTAAACTGAATCTCCATTTTGATGGAATGCTGGTTTTTTGTCCCCATGATGCTTCCTCTGTGGCACATTAATTGCATGTTAGCTGCAGAACAGCAAACCACAGAACTGGTGCAGGCTTTGTAATAAGATATCCATTACTGAACCAATTTGCAACAGGTGTGTAATGCACACCACTCTTATGCGATAGATTATTCTGACCAAGTGGATCTGACGTTGGCTTGATTGATGTTACACAAATCTTGCTAAAGTAGAAAAATTCTCACTCAGATACCTTACATTCAAATGCAACTCAACTTCTAATTCACTGTTACATGTATTTTCAACTGTATCTGAACTTTACAAGGCTGTTCAAATTATCAGACCTCTCTGTTTTGTGTGCAGGACCAGAAGAACATCACTATAATGAAACGTACCTGGGCTTGGGCACTCGTTCATCAGGAACTGGTGTCCATGTTGAGTCTGGAGACTTTTGTTCTTTGAATCTCCCAGTAAATACATTGGCAATGTCAAGCATGTCATAGGCACAGACTGCAGAGCCAGGGATGCTGCAAAGTGACATTTCCCATAAATTGTTACTGATTCTGCAGTTACGCATAAGATATTGAGTGAAAAAATGCTATATAGAAGACTTCCTGTCAGAGGCTACTTAATCCTGAACTCTGTAACCTCTGAGCATTGACAGGAAAAGCCAGCCCCACGGAAAAACCTGAAATATACCAATCATCAGAGAGCTCCTTCTAGAACAATATGTTGCAAAGCCTCTACAGTAAGAAGCAATTGTAATAATCCTGAAGAAAGGGAAGAATCTGTGAGACTCTGGGTAACACTGACAATGCATATGGAGTAACAGCCAGTCTCATTCAGAGCCCATTATCTGAAAATTCAAGTTCTTGTAAGTTGCAACATCTTTTGGCATTAATTCTCACAGTCCCTGTCATGGCTCCACTGCAGAAAGCTCAGAAGTTGGTGCTGATCAAACTGGGAGAATACTGCAATGTACCACTGACCTGGCATTTACATGTTATTACTTCATCCTCCCACAGCCTGATCTCCAAGTTTTCCCAGAAGAAAGGAGTTAATTATGCTCAAGAATCTGCTGAACTCAATGAGGTATAAAGAGCTTACAGAAGCAAATTCAATTTTATTTTTAGATCATAAAGTTGTAAATTTCAGCTTTTTGATTATTTGCATGCAAATCCCTAAACCTAATGATTTCCTTACCTACATACTTTCTAAAAGGCTCAGGGGTTCCCCATGGTCAGTTACTTGGAAGCATGAACTATTCATTTACCCACCTTTCATTTTTTTAACACAAACTACTACATTTATGTCTGACATTCATTGCTTGATTTTATCATGTAAATAGCATCAACCCAGCTAGCTGAGGCTTTCAATCTTGCTTTTAGCTAGTAGGTTACCAAAGAAAAATTGTAGGAACTATAATACTGCTACAGAGAATAAAATTAAATTCATAAAGGGATATAAATTGATAATAAAATAACTGTTTAAATATTAAAAGGTTTCAAAATGATTATTACTGAAGAAAACAAGAAGCAGGGAGACAGTATTAGTCTTACTTTGATCTCCACAGATTGTGTTTTTTTATGGAAGGGAGCTTCAAAGCTCTATATTAATGTGATACTATGCAGGAGGAGTTTTAAACAGAGGCAGCCACATGTATGTTGATGTAAGAGTTGGTGAAGTATCTATTTGGCCACACATAGAACCTCTCCCTAAAAGACACCTCGAGCTAAAAGACCCACTCCAGCTAGAAGATTTTGCACTTTGTTGAATTAAGCCCTAAAGAAAAAAAACAACCTAAAGTCTTGAGGAGTGCTGTAAAGAACTAAAAGCTCTGAGCACGGCGCTCAACCCATAACTACACAGTGACTACATGGAGTCACTGTGCTCAACCCTTAACCACACAGAGAAGACTGCAACAACTTTCATTCTTGAGGATGGCATTTCGTAGGTCCACATTGTGGTAATGCCAAAAGGATGGAGTATTGTGGCTCACAGCCAAGCCATCGCCCAGCTGCTGGACTACAACCTGTCACCAGCTCCTGTCCTGAGTGACTTTAGATTAGACCGGGGAACCTCTTCCAGCTCACCCTAAGAGGAAACTTTGTTCCAATGATCAAAGATATTTGTTGTGGCTTTTCCTCACCAGGGGAGGAATGAAAGAGATCTGTCTATTGTGAGAGGCAGGTTTGTTAATGGGGTGCCTCCAAACCTATGCACCTTTCTGTCATCTTCAATATCTAACAAAAAATGGACCCTATAAAATAGTAGCTTGATTTTAACACCAAGTACTTAGATATTAAACACGGGGAAAACTACTATTCATGACACATTACAGGAAATACTATCAGAATGGGAGGACAATCTCAGTTTTGAGATAATCTTAAGACACAACCTATTTTCTGATGCTGAATCTCTGTTCATTCACTTGGTTTTATTAAGCTAGTGTGCATAAAAAGAGATCATCCTAATTTAATTCTGTATTCCCTATTGGTGGCATAAGTATTCCACTGCAGTTCCTAGTGTTTTGATGTCAAAAGCAGCAATTATGCATTACAGGCCTGGGCTTACTCTCACATGAAGTCAGTTCTGTGCATGACCTCACTGAGGTCAGGCTTGAAAAGACATGGTGAGTGTACAGCAAAACCAGATGAATTTCAGCAATAAAGTTCCCCTTTCAGCTACTATTTTTTTAACTTCTCTGGGAGACCTCGATAATTAGATACAGTTACTCTCCTAATAACTTCTGGAGAAACATGTTATAATGTGCAGTGGTAATAAATTCTTCACAGATGAACTGATGCTTTTGGAAAACCACACAAACAATGAAATTCAGATGTTCTGGGGACCCTCTGCCCCAGCCAGCAGGACGGTTTAGGTTCTTGGCTCTCCCAGGAGAAAATTTAAGAACCTGTAGGGATACATGAAATAAAGGGAACGAGTACTAATGTGGCTTTGGGGGTTAGATGTAAACAACACAGGACCAGTCCTCTCTTTGTGGGAAAAACAATAATCATATTTTCTCTTTGGAATAACATTCTGCAAAACTTCTTGGTGGCTGGTTTGAATTAGTCCCATGTATAAGAAAGTGTGACCAAGGAACATGTCCAGATAGTAAATGGCTGAAAGCTGCTCTAAGTTATCAGATACAAAATGCAGGAAGCAATACAAGGATATCTTAAAATGAAACATGAACTACTGGTATGAACATGGTAAATAATAATTACATTGTACGAGCAATCACTTTTTGTACCTTCATAAAGTAAAAAGAAACTGCAGTGAAAAGCAAAACATGAAGTAGAAGGTAAAAGGTTATTGTCCTTATTACCTATTATATGGAGTGGAGAAGGTTGCTAAAACAACAGCCCGACCATTGAAATGGATAACATCTGTAACTGCCTGGAGTATGTTAAAGTAAAAGTGTGAATCGCCAGGAACTGAGCAGTTCAAACGAGCCTTGAGAAAGGAAGTCCACTGTTTTTCCAGCACTCTCTGAGATCCTCCCATGTCATTTTTGCAAACCTGAGCCACCCTTGGGAAAACTACCTAGAAGGAGTAGAGCAAAAATAATGGAGAAAATTAAATGCTTGTTTGAACTAAGGATTTTGTTGGAATTCTGTTTTTACACCAAGGTGCTTAATTTAATCCCACGTTTCCATAATCTGTGACAAATAAGAAACAGAGAAAAATTAAGCTTTGGAACAGTGTGCTATAAAAGATAAGGCTGTAGCATTTACTATACAGCCATAAATCCTTCAGGAGATCTGTCCTCAACCCATATAAAATTAATTTCCATACCAACTGCTTAGCTTTCTATTTCCCCAAACAAAAGCACATTTTATATTCACAATCCCTGCAACCCACGCTGCCTGTTCTGACTCTTGTGTTTTCAGCACTTAAAACCTATGCAGATCTTGCTGGGCTTTTATTCCTACCTTCCACCTTTGTGACCTTGGTCAGCTCTTCCAACTGCTTAGTCAGAAAGCTATTATGAAATTAGCAAAAATGCAGAAAGTGTTTAATTATTCTTTGCAGAATGGCAGAGCACAGAATGCCTGCCCCTGTTTATTCAGCACTCAAATTCAGATTTCTTAAAGAATAATATCTCCCTGCTTTGGAGTTTGTTTTCACCAATTCCCTACTAAATTGAACTACCTACATTTGCCTTGTTCTTTTTATGATTTGAGAAAAGAGACTCCAGTATACAACATCACTGTAAGAAACCACCCTGCTTCTTTTCAAGACAGTAGAATGTTTCACTCCAACCAACCTTTTGGCTTAAGCGATAGGAATCTTCTCAAAATGATGACCTTGTCATCATGATTTATGGTTCTCATTTCAAGGTCACTCCTAACAGCATTGGTCCAAGAATAGCATATGTTTTGTTCCTCCTGAATCTGACAAAGTCATTCAAGGCAATATATTTGCCCTTACCTTTCCCATGCTGTTGTATTCCACTGCTATTTCTCGGAAGAAGAAGTAAATGTAATTGCCATAGTCCACTGCCTGGACAAAGTATGGTTCTAGGAAAAAAACCAAGACATCCTATTTAGGCACCGTGCACAGCATGTAGCATGCAAAGAGAAGCCGAATACGTTCACGCTAAACACCCAAAGGTGAAATGCTTGCTCAAGCTTGCTCAGATTTCAGAACTAGCAACATCACCACTGCAGAAGAATCACTGTCTGAGGAGAGGAGATCTGGGGAGAAGTCTGTGCCAACACCACTGCAAGGTAGTTAAAGTGTTTGCCACTAATATGTCTGCCCTGCGTGGAAGTATGAGGAAAGGTAAAGAGGCAATACACGTAGCGGTATGCCTGACGGGTCCAAGCAGTGCTCTTCATGGCTGTGTGTGGAGGGAAAAACAAACCATGTAACTGCTTCTGCCCACACATAACTGTAGTAGCAAGCAAAGAGGGACTAAGTCAACACCTGGCAAAACATTTCTGCATGCAGAAAAAGTCTTCAAACTATAACTTTGCTCACTGTTAAAATCGTTCCAAATGGTAACTGTTTGTAACGCCTACATGAAGCTAAACAGCACCGTTCTTAACAATGAGGGCATTTAGAGCACAGATATTGCCTAATTCAGTGGCAGCTGTTACAGTCCCTAAGAACCATAAAAGAAAGGCTTTGTGCAATATTCCCATAATTTTATTTTCATTGATGAATCTTAATGTTACAGGACAAACCCTCCATGCTTCATGAAGCCTTGACTGTTACCTAACACACTCCTGGGGGAAAGAATATTTTCTAACACAAGTTCAAGCACACCTAGATCTGCAAGTTCCAACCTTTACATCCAACAGCTGTAAACTGATGGATTTCAGCTTGGAAAGATGCTGGAATATATATTGTGATCTACCATGCTCACAGTTTCTGTCAAGTGCAGTAACTTGGGGTCAGGAGAAGAAGGAAAAAGACAAACAGAAAGCGGTGGTGAAATTAAATGACAAAGAGGTCTGTCAGGAATACAAGACTCTCATCAGAGATGCTGCTCATTTTGTTTTGTTTGTTTATCTACCTTTCAACCACTTTGAGTCATGCTTAACTGTCCGCAGAGTTGGGCTGTCTCCAAGACTCCGGTATATGACTGCATCTATTGCAAGGAAGTCGGTCACTGTGGCAGAATACAGCTTTCCCTCTGGGGATGAAAGAAAGAAGAAACAAGAGGGGAGGTGCATGAGAAATAACATAATTAGTTTCTCTCATCAGTCAAATGAGATGGGGCAAACAATATCATCACAATCTTCTTAGGAACATGAAGGGAAAAAATTCAGCTAGGTAAAGGGGACTGAGCACTGAACAAGCATGTCACCAATTTTCAAAACTGTCACATCAGAAGCATGCTGTGGGAGAAGAAACCTTATGGGGTAATTTTTCTCCAGCTTAGGTAAGTCATATCCTGTCCAGTTTCCTTGCACATGCCTCCGGTTCAATGCTCATAAATTCTGCCTATGTTTGTGAGCAAAACAAATATGGGGAAACTGTGACAGAACTGTTTTAACTGAGAGGGCAAGCCAGACAGGTCTTACAGACTGCAGCTAATTGACACTTATGCAAATTTCTCCCTTTGAGAGCACTCTTCCTCTGCCAAAGATCACTAGCAAAAAATCAAACAGCATGCACAGAGCCCAGGCGAAACAGGGATACAAAGAGATGGAGGAGGATTGCCTATCTATGTTTCTTTTCTAAAATGTGTTTTAGGCGTTTTCTGCATGAATTATGCATTCCTCTCTGTTAAATAACCGAAGAGCAAGCAATGAAAAGGACAACAAAAAAAAAAAATGCAAACCTATGAGGAGGTAAAAGCATTAGTTCCAACATTTTTAAATTACATTTGTTATCAGTTTGTGGGTCATGGTAACCGTACAGGGCTGTTTTCATGTGTGAGACACACTCTGGAACATGATGTATGGTAGAAGCACAAACATTGCAGCATGAGAACACAACTCTGTTGTGTCTACATAAAAATCAGAATGGCCTCCATTTCATTTGACAGAGATTATGTTGCATGCTGGGCCTTGAAGTCACCAGATGGAGGACATATCCAGCAGAAAGCACAGAGGCTGCTATTGGTCAAGATCTCCTCATTGCACTTAAAGACAATGTTTTATTTCAGCTCAAGATTTAAAAATCAGACTCTTTTTTATTAGCAAGACTGTACTCTGAGCCTCCATATTTCCCATCATTATTTGGCTATTTAAAAATGGACTTCTCTTAGCAAAACAGAAAAAAATAATCACAAAATAAAAAAGCAGATAGTAAAAATGATTTTAAAACAGAATAAAAAGCTGAATTGTTTAGATATGGATGTCTGAACTCATATTAATACAATCACACTTTTTTTATTTCCTGCTAAGTTCATGAAGACCATGTGACCAATTATAATTTGCTCATATCAGCTGTAATAGCTACGGGCCACAAGAAGAGCCATATTCATGTAAGTGCACCCAACAGACTCGGATAAGCTGGATCAGTGCCCTAAACTGCTCTGAAAATGCTTTTCACTGCACTCCAAAAAGTTACCATGAGTATTAACATGCATTGCATATAAAATGGTGATTTCTCCTGAAATTAGCAGATTTAGATTTACACAGTATATTCCAAAAGAATGTATTTGAACAGTATCACATTTATTCTGAATCATCATGAAAGAGCATGATCATTTCTATAAATGTATTTTTTATTTTTAAATACTGCGAGGACTTCTTCAGTGACAGACTGGGAGTCATCTTACTAAACTTCAGCTACATGTAAAGTAAATTAGTCATAAACGTTTCCTTGGCCAGTACTGTGAGAAGTGCTCTTCTGAAATGTCGTTCAGACTGCCCTAAAGATAGGAAATCTGAGACACATGGGATAAATCTTTCCCTGAAGGTGTCTCTCTCTTTCCATGGTTTATGAATTACCTGCTGCAAACAGAGAATTTCTACTTTATGTTCTTTTGACTGCAATTAAGAAACTACATACTACCACCATCATCATCACTATTTTGAAGCAAAAGCACCCATTTATTTACACTTTAAAGAGTAAAAATGAAAAAAAAATTGCAACCTGCTATAAAATCTCTCATTTCTGAGGCAGATGTCACACCTCAAAAGTAGTGCTTACTACAGCTCTTCAGCCACAGATTAAATTGAGAATGGATGAAATACTTGCACACTCTTAAATCTTCAGAGGAACAGATAAAGTATTACCATGTGAGCACCCAAGCTCTGCTTTCTAGTATCACACCTGCTGAAGAGGACTGACATTATCATGTCTGACTTTGGTATTATCTTTACAACCTACTTTACAGGCAAATCTAACAAAAGATCAGCATGGTTTACACTAAGGGAAGTTCAACAAAGAAACAATTTAATCCAGAATTCATGAAAAGAGGTAAAAAAATACCACACAATCAACAGCCTGAATCAACTCCATTAATAATCGCTCACTTTTCTTAACTATTGTAGTAGAAATCAGAGTTAACTGTATTCTGCTGCATGCAGCATAATTCATCATTAATCAACACATTTCTCTTCATGTCTGCAACAGCCAGTAACACCACACTGAGATGTTTTCTGCTTTAAAATCACCTTCCCCCTCCTCTTAGATCTAGAAAAGGGTACATCACAGCATGTTACATAACTTCCTTTTATTACGAAGTTTAACTTAAGCTTAGAGTTGTTAAAATGCACGTCATAGAATAATAGAATGGTTAGGGTTGGAAAAGACATTAAGATCATTTAGTTCCAACCCCCTGCCATGTGCAGGAACACCTCACACTAAACCATATCACCCAAGACTACGTCCAACCTGGCCTTGAACACCACCAGGGATGGAGCATTCACAACTTCCTCAGGCAACGCATTCCAGTGCCTCACCATACTCAGAGTTAGGGTTGGAAAGGACCTTAAAATCATCTAATTCCAAGCCCCCTTCCATGTCCCGCTCACCTCTCATTAAAATTCACATAAACCTTGACTTTCCTTGACTTCTGCAGAAGCTGGATGCAGCCAGAAATGGTGCCTCATGCTGGTCTGGTATAATATTATCACAAATACAGGAAATATTGAAGTATTGAATAAGGAAACTGAGGCTTTGGGCAGTGTTCATGATAGTGAAGTTAATACCAGAGAAGGTGAGGCTTCTGGGCTAGTGATTTCCTTACACCACTTATTTTTAGTCACTATTCACTCCCTTTGCCACTTCTTAGATTTTCACATTCTGTTCTCAAGGGTTATGCCCAGCCTGGGCTGCAGGACAGAAAGCAAAATGTTTATCTCTGTCACTTTACCTGCAAACAACGCAACGTTGGCATGCTTTGCATCATAGGGGCACCTGGCCATCCCACTGAATTCATCTCCTAGAACTTCCAGGGTATCCATCTGAAAAATGAAAGGAAGCTCCTTAGAGAGAGAAAAAACTTCTTACCCAGGATGAGGCTTGTGACAGTGTTTCTTCTTTTCTGGGCAGGGAGGAAGGTGCTTTCTCTAACTATGCACCTACTACGAGTTAAAAACCTGACAAAAGTCATGCTGATAAAATCAATCTGAAAAAAGTGCATGCAGTAAATCAGGCATTCTTTCAGATCTGATCACTCTTACCCCAACAATTTTTACAAAAGTCTTCAGTCTGTATTTTATCCATACACAATCTTCCTGTTGAACTGTAGCAGGCTATGTGGCCTGTGGTTCTGGCAAGGATTCAAAATTTATCCTCAACAGTGATCCAACAGAAGCACTCTTATCCACAGAAAAGACTGCAAGCCACAGCAGTCAGAAGAAACAACACTAGGACAATTATCTGTGTGCGCATTTTTCTCCCTAAAGTCCAGAGATCCTTCTGCTCTAGTCTCAACAGTGGTGCTCTCTTTCTTGATTTGCATACTCAGAAGGATGCTCTTGAAGTCTAACTCTATCAGTTGAGTCTGTGTAACAGAGAAATCCTCTTACCATTAGGCAAGAATTAATCTGTGCAGGAACTGTAAAATCTGAAGTTTAAGTGTAACTCCTGGGAAAGAAATTCACCCTGAGCGCTGATAATCATACAAATGTACAGGTCAACTTTACACTAAGTTCAAGAGAGTTGTGAGCTATGGGGGAAAGATACAGCTCTTACTTCTTTAAGATCCTTACACTATCATATTTTGGGAGTAAGAATCTTTCTAGTATATTCAAGTAACTTCAGCAGCTCATACTGTATAAACCACATACAATACAAATTCACAGAGCATGAAAAATAACCCTCCTGGCACCATCAACTTTTAGCTTGCATGTTATAGCACCCAAGTCCTCCAGTGATCACCATTTGTTTTCTCTCATGTACCCTTCCTGTCAGAACCCACTCTGAAAGGAACTCTGTTTATTCAAGGGCCATCCACACATCCATTGGCAGGGTGGAGGAACAGCCCTGTTTTCTGCTTGGCACAACTTTAGTTCTCTATATACACTGCAGAAATACATGGAGGAAAAGCCAGGACAGGTACTGGAGAGACCTCCAGCTGACTCCAAGAAGTACCACTATCCAGCCTCTGCAGCTGAGCAGCAGGTGAAGCAGTGTGCAGAGGCCATGCGTCACAGTGAATGAGACATCTGCAGTAAGGGTAAGGAGGGCCATTTATATTCCTCCCATTAGGATGCCAATGAAATAGCTGTATTAAAAGACACCTTTCTTACAAGTGGTCTGGCTGAGCTTTGTCAGTTCCACTAACAGCATTAAAACCTAAAATATTACAAACTGTGCTGGAAGACTAAAGACAGAATTGAGATGAAGAAGCTTCATTACATGCTAGGAGCAGGAAGCAAGAAAACAAGAAATGACGGTTAACAAAGTAGCTATCTGCACCACACAATTAGCATGACACAGGCTTGTGTTTTTATTCAAATTTGATTCTTCCTTCACAGATGGAAAGAAAAGACCATTCTGAACTTCAGTGTTTCCTACAACTAGCCATCACAGTAGCTAAACAAGGTAAAGCAGCACTGCAGAAAAAGCAAGGAAGAGAAGCAGTCACAGCGAACACCAATAAGGAAGTCGATTTCCTGGATGTTAATGTTTTTACTCTGGTTTGGTTTTTTTCTTACAGTAATTCTGAGCCCAGTGAAATGAATGAGAATTGTTCTGTTACTTTATCAGAAACAGCACTATCAAAGCTGAATTTTCTTTTTCCTAAAGAAGGATGAGAAATGACCTGTGGGATGTAGCACTGCCTGGAAAAGCAGAGTCTGTATATTAAAAGAGCCTAAATAAATTCATTTCAAAGTTACTTCAGAGACATACACTGTTGGGGGTAATATCAGATTATACTGGTGCAAACCTGAGAAAATGGGAAGCATTTGAATAAATGCAGATAACCAGGATACACTATGTCAAAGGGAGACACTGGGGTCAGTGAATTAATGTTGAGTATCCATAAACCAGCACAGTATTCTACACTGCTCAGGACAATGTTTTGGTTTTACAGAGTCTGAGTGAAGAGTACATCACCCTCCTGCTGTACCTTTCCCTGTTGAGACCTGCTTTCAATCACTTTTACAGCACAGAATGCCATAGGATATCCACAGCTATCTGCTGGGTGCCCAACACCAGTCTTCTTGGAGTTTGCTGTGCTAAGCCGTCAAGTGTCTTAAGTACTGGCTTTGGTATTGAGAAAAGTATAACCGAGACATTTAAAATGTGCTATTCCAGAGGTAACCCTTAGCATAAGCCTATGACTTGATATGGGTGTCAGTAACAAGCTGAGGAACTTTCTGAAGAGTAACTGTATACCCAAGCAGGGATCTGAAGGACCCTGCATCTGTGGAGGGCAATACAAACTAGCAATAAACTCTTGACGTGCAGGAGTTGAAAAGAGGTAGGTAATCAGCACAAGAAATCCTCAGAAATACAATCAATATTGAGCTCTGTAGCACTGAAACAAGTGGAGATAAATGCTACAGAGTTCAATGATGCACTGTTGAATGACAACCTCATGCTGCTGCCAGCAGATTCACAATAAATCCAACAGAAAGACAAGGCATAAATGAAATCCCACAAACAGATCACATACCTTGTAATTCCTGCAAGAAGGGTTGAATGCATTTGTTCCACAGATAAACAGTGTATCTTCATTTCTTTTCAGGAGAACCTTAATAAAATTATGACATTCATCCTGAAGAAAAACCATAAAATAATTTCAACTACTGTATTTTGAGTGTCTGGTGTTTTTTTTTTATGACATGATATTTCCTTATCAGATCTAAAATGAAACTGGCTGGTAGCCACTGATACATTTTTGGCTTTATTTCCTCTATGTTTAACTGACAATGAGCAAGATGCAACTGATTTATTCCAGTGGTTTAAAAATGGTTACAAAAAACTGAAGATATTATATTAATATCATAGCTCAGATTTTGCTATTGTTCACATAGGTGAATTCTGTTTTAAAGCTGATGCTTTCCCCAAGAGTGAAAAATCTGATCTTCCTCTCACCTACATTGCTGTAAGACAGTAGCATCACCAATGCAATGTACTGGCATAAAGCATCTGTAACTAGAAGGGGAACAGGTGCAGAGAATCAAAGAGTCTGCATCTAATTCTGATACCACATGTGATAGTCATAGATCATATACAGTAGGCTAAAACTGGTGTGAGAAACAGTCCTTCAACATCTGTACACATTCATGCTTTCTGATGCCTTACATGCTTTCTGATGGCTTACACAAACTTATCCATAAATTCCTTCTGGAGGATGGACAGCAGCATTTAGCTTTTGAGGTTAGTGGTAAGCAAAGTCAGTACACTAAGCATTATGTCCAAAATCCTCAGTGCCTCAGAGATATTCCTGTGTCTCCTGTCGTAATATTTTATCACATTAAAAGTAAACTATTTTTGGAAATTAAAGCCTTCAGTAAGTTGATGGAAAAAGCAATTACTGGCAAGAAGTGAATGGCATGATCCATTCCACATCACAGACAGCAGCCTGAGATAATAGTGAAGCAACTAAACTAAAGTGGCAGATGCAGAAGAAATGAAAATTGCCTACCTTATGTTTTCCCTTCATTCTGCATGTGTCTACATCAGCTTGTCTAGATTTCCATGTCAATTTCTGCAAGGATCAAGAAAGAAATCAATTAGAGCCCAGAGGTTGTTGCATTTAATTTCAGAAGTATAAGTCCCTTAGGGAAGACTAGCTGTTGAACATATATTTATTGAAAGCTTTGTGCACCCTTTCTCCATGATTAATTCACCACAACAATGAAAGATCAGTGATGTGGAGCATGCACTTAATTTTGTATTGCTATCTATTCATTAGACTAGAAATGTATCCTGTTTTTTTAAAGCCTAAGCCAACAAAATTCAGCAATAGACCATGTTGCAGAAATATGTGCATTTTTCTTAAAAACACTAGATCCTCTCTTAACTTGATGTTGTTCTGCAAATCAGAAGAAACATTTATGGACTAGATACTCTGACTGGATTCTAAATAAAATATGTATTCTGGAAGATAATATTTTATCTTAGCAAAGAAATCAAATTCACATAATTCTTATCACCTCAATTCAGCTACCAGACCCAGGAAGCCCTCTACCTATCAAGACACTGCTGACTTTATCTGCTAACACTCTTTTACCAGAACATTTACAGGCAAGTCCTAGCCTGGATATTTTTGTGATGAGTTTCAGGAGTGGTCAAATGTGGTAGCCTGATCAATTATAGTAAAACTTTAAAACCATATAGCCTAAGTTAGTAATGCCTCAGGCACTATTGCCACGATAGGCCTGATAGTGTTTCCCATCAGTAAACTGAGACACCGTGCATTCATGAAGGGCTCCCAGCTGAAAGAGTAACCATGATTGTTTATTTCCATTACAAGCTTGTACCCTCGCTTCTGATGAGTAACTGGCCATAAGCTCATCTTCAACATCACTCATAGTTATGATGAAATACTCTGACCTCCTACAGTAGATTAATCTAAAGTCCAAATTCAGATGATTTTCTGTTGGACCAAGGATGTATATGGCACATACTGCACTGTATGAATGCAGTGCAAAGGAGATGAAGGGAAAGTTTTCTAGTGTGTTTATGTTAATACACAATATGGTAATGCAGACAAAGCTCTTAGGTTGAATGAAACTTCCCACGGAGATAATGTGAATATATCTACAAAGTGATGTTATAATAAGATTTTATTTAGTGAGTACTTGCATGAGTGAATAAAATTTGTGTGCAGGAAAATATGTAAATAGCACTGGCTTTTTATGATGAAAGTTCCCATATACTTAATTGGGACAGTATAGCTATTACAGAAAACTGCTGAATATAAATTAATAGATGTTTGACAGATGTTCCATCAGGGACTTCACTGTATTTCAGTACAGATTGCTTATCAGCCCAGCTAAATCACTTATCAGAAATTCACAGAGGACATGATTGCTATTCCAGCTTTCCTCAAATATGATTAGCAATGCCATCTTACTTCCTTGTTACAGCTTTTTCAGCAGCACAGGCAAGTTGTTTGAAACAATGCCATAGTCCTATTTATTTGATGTTTGTTGTACTGTCCTTACTTTTTGGATGACGATAAAAGCTACTTACTTTGCTAAAATAAATTTCTTCTGTATGTGATGTGTCCATATCAACAGTATAAATATGGTCCCTGTAAACGAAGGCAAACGAACACAAAGTCAAACGGAGCAGTCAGTTCATTTTCTATGAAGACAGTTATCTATCACAAGATAATCCATAATCCATTCAAAAAAGATCACAGGTTTTACCACGGAACATTACTGGCAGCGTTGCGTGCTTCTCCCAGAAAAGCACTTTCATATATAAACTGTTTTCCTTCCCATTAAGAAAAAAAAAGAAAAATGCTACAAAACTTCAAAGCAAGATTCTATCCCAAAAGCAATTATTTGAATTGAGATAAATGAGGTTTTGGAAAGATGAGCCTCAAATAATTTCTGCTCTATAGGTCCTACAGCAGATGCCACAATCTAGCATGCAGATGCTTTTGCTCTCTCCCTTTCTTCCTCTCTCCCTTTTTATTTATTTATTTATTTATTTTAAATTACATGCCTAACCTCAGCTGTGATAATTTGATTGATAATATGGTAGACATGAGGCCGACAGCCACGAAGCTATTCACAGAAATCATTCTTCACACACTGGTGGCCAAACTGAACTAAAAAAAATACTCTGCTGGAAAAAGTTCACATTTCTTGATTGCATTCACTTTCCTGTTTTTCTGAGAACCTGTCCTTCTCTACAGTTAGCTGCCAATCTCTCCCTGGGAAGAGGAAATAGACTCAGCTACTCAGGTAAAGAGATATTCATAAACATTCTCCTCTCTGGAAACTGAGAACAAGGACATACCTATATGAAACCTAAAATGTGGAAAAAACCACCCCAAAACAAAACAAAACAAAAACCCCAACAAATCCCACCAACCCATAACACTGCAGTAACTGCCACATCAAATTTGTACTGAGCATCTCATTTTTCCGGGAAGTAACACAGGGTTTTTTCAAAATGCAGGAAGTTGTGCAGCTGGAGCATGATCCACAGCATTGAAGGGATCCACAACATTGAAAGTAGGATACAGACTCTTTCCATTACAGAAATCCTTGCTCTCAGAGTTAACTTCATTTCTTGGGTTTTGGGGAAACAGTGCTAGTCTCTTCAATAAAGCAGACACAAAACACTGCTATAAAAGGAATAAGCAACACTTCTGTCATGTGGAGAAAAGAGGCATCATTGTTGCAGGGAACTGGCTTTTAAAAATCTGTTTGTTATGGTGCTCGAGGCTGTTTGCTTTGTGTGACACCAAAGTGAGGAGTGGTTGGTTTCTTCTCTTCCAGACACTGTAAAACCAGAGCTGTCATTTACTTCCAAGATTGGTTTAATTTTTCAGTTTACTCTTTGTCCGACTTTACTGGCAGAGCATTGGTCAGGGTTGGTACTGGAATATACCAGTACCTATTATACCAGCTTCATAGATTACTACACAGTTACCTTTATATGTACATCGCCCTTTGTTACTGTCACTCATACTGCATAAAAGTAGGAACAAAATCTCTTGAACTGCAAACTAGGTGCAGCTGGAGCTCTAAAATCCTTCTTCCAGTGCAGCTCTTGATTTTAATCATTGGTGTTGCTTTACAACGATTATGTTTTTTTCTTTTTAAACAAGACAATTAGAAAACATAGTGGTGGTACTCAGAATGAGTCTTGAGTTATTTAGTTCTACTCTCAATAAAACAGCTTCCAGAGGAGCTAACTTTCCGGTTCAAGAAACAGTTCAAAGAAAACTCTGATGTTAAGTTACAGGATCATCTGAAAGAGGGTTAGTATCAGGCAAATTACCTATCATTTTCTCATGCTGTACGTGAAAGGTAGTCACTGACAACGTCAGCAGAGAGCGAAAGAGCTGTCAAATTCAGGGGAGGGCTCTCTAACCACAGACAATGCAGGATTGTCCTTGCCCTTCTTTTCCCACTGCTGCCCGACTCCTACTATCTACTAGCCATGGTGTGCGTACAGCTCACTGCTAATTAAGTTATTCTAACACAAATTGACTTAATCCCAGAGCTTCCGTTTTTCCCACCTCCAGTCAGCAGAACCTGGTTTTGTTGCCATGGCATAATCTTGTGGAGGAAGGGAATTTAAATAATGCCACCGGCTGTGCATGACCCTTGGCCACTCAGTTCATCATCTGGAAATGTGTCGCTGCAAATGAGGAGGCAGCCATCCCAATGCTTCAAGGGCTCAATAAACTGTTTTGTACATACACATGAGGGGTGGCAGATAATGTGAACAAAAGCTGCCACCACACAAGACATTGGGAGGAGTAGTCATGGAAAACTTATAAAAGGGTGTGTGTGCTTGGATGCGGGTGAGTGTGAGACAGACAGTGAGGGAGAACCCTTCCCATGAGAAAAAAAACCCCAGAGCTGCTCCTCTGCAGACTGCAAGCCAGATATTTGGACAGCACGGCTACATGGGCTTCAGCTAAGTTATTCTCATTTGTATTGGCTGGATACCTTTGCCTGATAACATGAAATACAGCCTTTCCAAAGCGACAAGATTTTATTTGGTAATAGCTAAATACAGGAGTTACGTATCCCGTATGACAAAATGAGCAACTGACAGACAGAGATTTTGTTCTACGCCAGTCGATCAGTAATAAACTTAGAAGCTCTCGAATCTGAGTTAGTCCTCTCCTGCATACAGAAGCGGTCTCCAAAATCAACACTATATTTTCTAAAGCAAGCAAACAAACAGAAAACCCCAACCCAAACCCAGCAATCCCAAAATAGAAACTATCGATGTTTACGCATTTGTTTTGATTGCTTTTCAGATAATTGGGTACAAACATTAACTCAGCATCGCTGCATTTAAATGTCTAAAAAAAAAGCATGAAAGCAACGTCTGATATGACAGCTATAGGATTTATGTTAGCTTCAGTTTTCAATCAATCTTGCTACAAAACTCTTAGAGAAATGCCTTCGATTGTGTACAATTTGCCTCAGTGTCCAGATTTACTGTTATCTCTAACAGAGATGCAGTACTGCAGTTATAAACTTTTATTCACACTAGCTATTCAAGGATGACTCATTTTCTGAATTTTATTACTTAAAGATAAAAATGACCTTTGAATTTTAACTAGTATCACATAGGCTTCTCAGCCCAGCAGGGAATTCATTCAGTGGAGGGGGAAAAGAATACGTCAAAGAGGTTTTGAGTTACCAAAGTGTAAGAAGATATTTTCTGTGTTTGTGTAAGTAAGAAACAGATCAGGTCTTCACTCTTTTTTGTAGGTTGCAAGACCCTAGGAGTGTATGAGCACTCTCAGTGTAGTAAACTGTTTTATAAAAATACATAGTCACATAATACGTAAGAATGCATGTTTCACATCCCCCAAGTGTTAGCATTCTTTATATAATTTGTGCATACAGTGGTTTCGTATCCCAAAATGTTTGCTGGGTTTTCCTGTTGTAATGCCAGTTGCTCGGGCACCGCGACAGTCTAATTGCGTCAATCTCAGTCTGGGAACAAACTATGAATACAGCAGAGCAAAATCCACAAAGCGGATTTACCACCTTCTCACTGCAAATGATTTCCTAATTTAAAGGAAAGCAAGGAAAACAAAGGGAACTCAGCCATGAAAAGGAGGAAATCCTGCCACAACTTTTCAAACCCGTTCAGCCCGCTCCCCCGCCCCTCTCATTATCACACTAAATGCAGCAAAAATACTAATCCCTGAGCTCAGGCAAAGTGAAGGGAGGCCTTGCTGTGGGGCTAGCTGCTTTTTGTGCTGTACAACCAAAACCACGGCAGCTCCTGTGGAAGGATACACGATCTTTGCACAGACTTGACGCAGGGGCTTGGTGTGAGTGAGAACCCAGAGATCTGCCTCCCCACACAAACTGGCCTATGTGAGCAGCCTGAAGAAGCTGCATTTAGCTGGTACAGCAGCAATGCCTGGGTAGGGGACCAGGTAGAAGTGTGATTGTCTACCAGCCAGGGACATAAGTGACAACAGCTCTCAGTGACCCTGCTGATGTAGTGCAACTAATTACTTGGTGCCAAGTGGAGACTGACAGGCAGATTTATAACACAGGACACATCTGATCACCCACAAGATGGGGAGATGCTGCTGGAGAAGAAAGACAGGCAGCTCCCAGCTGCTGCCAAGGGCTCAGAGGACAGGGCTTGTGGTGAGAGGCTGCCTGTTCAGCAGCTGTTCCCTCTCACCTCCTGGACATCCCACCCACCACTTCTCCCATCTGCAGCGACGGCCTGGTACTCTGCAGCAGGTCCAAAATGGGATTTGGGCCCAAGAGCTCCTAAACTAGACAACCCATCCTTGCTAATCGGGACCTTTCTCTCCTTCTGCCTGCATCCATCTGGTAATGGATCCAAGATCATTAATCCCCTTTGCTAGCAACAGGCAGGGAGAAGAAGTGTTAACGTCTGATCTGTGTCAGGCTGGAAGCTGTATAAATTGGTGTAGGTCCGCCATCAGTATGGAACTCATGGTGCCATGCTGAGCTATTCAAACTGAATGGGTAGCTCCACATTCAATTTTGACAAAAGGCATGTGCTTGTATCTGCACAATATAGCTCTCAAAAAAAATCAGCAATGTTACAGTTTAATAACTCTTGTCCCAAAATGCATTTGTGCACCAGCAGAATCATTTAGAATATGTCATTAACGGTGTGCACAACAAAATTACAGGATGAGGACAAACTCCCTCTTCCATGGGACTAAGCAATCTCTCTGGCAACTTCTCTGCTGCTGAGGCAAAGTGTAGTCCAAAAGGAGGTGGAGGTGTATAGACCTGAAATGACTGCCTCAGCCCTTCGCAAAACTGAACCTCAGTTGAGGTTTCCAGCATGTCTTACTAACAGGCTGCAAACTTGTCTCTGAGAAAATCCTGAAATTAACATGAAAAAGAACTTGGAATATCTCTAGTCTTCTCCTTCCTCCTCTGAAAGCAGCAAGGGAGGAGCATCAAAGCAGGGGACTACCGACCTAGCAGCAACGTAGAGGGTCCTGTTCATGACCATGACCAGCTGGATGTCCAGCCGGTGCCTCTGTGTGGTGTTCCGCCCTGGTTTGTGACCCACAAACACCGGATACTGTCTTGTATCTGTGGAAAGGTAAAAAAAACAAACAGGGTCAAAAGAGAATCACAAACTGAAAGAGTGCTAACATGGAGCACCACGGGGCCCAGCTACAGCCAGCTCCTGTGGTTTCTGTTCTACCCCAGCAGCATAGCCTGGAGTTAGAAGGCAGGAGTACAAAGGGCTAGAGAGTTCTTCAAGGTTACAGTCGTCTTTGCAGCTGCAAAGGAGAAAGTCACCACCTCTGTAGAAGACAAAAATTGCAAGGGTTTTTAGAGTGTAAAGCCATTCTGGAGCTCTTGGCACAAAGGTACACAGCCCTTTCTCACAGTTTTTCTTTCAGTGTTTGCAAAGCTTAAATGCTTGCTCCTGGCTGCCAAAGTGTGTCTAGCAGGACAAAGCTGTTTCACAGTGGCCCATCAATCACCACACTGACTGGACTGGTAGTGGTTAAAGCAAAAGACTTGGCTTTCCTTGGTTCAAACTGCCAGCTCCCTGGGTTTCCTACAGGATTGGCCTGCCATCGTAGAACAGCTGTGGGGATTTCTGAGAAACAGTGGGAAACCACGACTTGAACTTTATAATATGAAAATCACTGCATATTATTTGGCAACCAGTCTGATACTCCAGTTCTTCTGGCAGCTGGACAGCAATACTGATTGGAAGCCCTGGGCTGAGCATATGCTATTGACAAGTCAGCTTTCCCCCCCTGATCTATCAGGAAGAGTATTTATTCACTGTGTTTCCATGAATTTTTTAATGAGACGTCAGCCTACAGAGTGTCTGCTGCTGCTCCCCAGCTATGACTGTGTACAGCCTATAACAACAGTGAACACTTCTGCCCAAGGGCCACCTCGCTGGTAGACTTCACATGTATACATGATCATGACATCTAGATGCACAAAATAAGGTACTCATTAAGTAAACAAAATGACAGAAAACAGGAGGAGGATAAACCTCTGATGAGCATCATCATCAACGCAGAACTGCTGCATATGTTATACAGAGCTGACTAGCATCTATCTGTCCCTGAGCTTTTTCCCCATCAACAAGCCTTCACAGAAACCTGGAGCTGTTTGAAGGAGCCTATTTCTTCTGAAACTCACCTTCTGCTTTAGTGTTTTTAGCTACTGTCCTCTAAAAGTATTTTCTCTGTTAAGCTTGGTTGAAGTACTGATTCCCATCATGGCTTCAGCAAAGCACCCAAGAGTGCTGTGTGTCAGAAAGCCTCGTGATAAAATTGGACAGAAACAGGAACTTCCCTGTGATCCGGATACTGAGAACTCTTGGAGAAACAAAGTAAGACAGCCCAGGCAGGATTTATGTTCAGAAGCTTAATCCTTCTGACCAAGTCCTACATGCAAATGCCAAGTTTAACTGTCAGTCTGTTCTCTGTCCAGTACCAGTAGTTTCCTCTGTAACTCATGGATCCATCATGAGCTTGGGGCCTGCACATTCATGTGCATTTCAGCATGCCATGCTGCAGAGGAAGAAGCTCTCCCATGTTCCATTTATCCAAAAGGATGAAGACTGGCTATTTCTGCAATTTCAAGGATGACTAGAATCACACTTCTGGAGAGTGAAAATATTGGTGCTAAAGACCCAGTGGTCACACTAGGCATGTTTCAGTAGGGTTTGCCTCAGAGCAGTTCTGCTCTGTTCTTCTGTCCCAGATAGAAGAATTATTATTAGCATCTGGAACCCATCAAGTGTGTCCCTAGAGTCTGCCTTTTGGCTTGGTGTTACCCAAGACAGACAGGTTTACAGGTCCCAAGGCCACCCCAAAGCAAAGTAAGCAATGACAAGCAAGGAATTCGCTTTAAAACCAAATTCCTGACCCAAAATAGGCTTAAACATAAGCCTATTAATTTCTGTCTTGCTACCCCTTAGCATACCTTTAGAGACCCCAGTGCTAAAGACTTCCTTTTAAACATCTGAACCTTTGGGACTTTGTAAGACTTTTCTTTGTCATAACTGTAATTGAGCTGAGGTAAATGTGAAAGAATCAGTTATGCTAAGCCTGACTGGCATGGCAAAATGCACAGAAAGCTCTCCACCTGTTTAGCCAGCAAATCTCGATACTGATTCACAGCTGTTTGCATTACCCTAGATTTTGGAGTGTTTGCAAATTACTGCTGGTAAGAAAGAGAGATTGCTGTTACAAAAGACTCTTTGTCTTGATTTGCTTTTTACCTACATTTCCAGCTTAGCAAAAAATGCCTAATGCTAAAGTGGAACCCATCAGAGCTTAAAGGAGTAAATTTAATTATTTGTATTAGATCAACAAATTATACTTTCAAAGCTCAGTTACTTTAGTGTGCTGTGCCTGATACTCTGAGGTACTTCACTGGATATTCAGAACTAGATTTCCACAAATCAGGTGAGGGACACTTTGATTATGGGACAGGGAAGGGGAGAGAAGGCTTCTCTCCTTTGCTGCTGGATAGAGCTAGATACATGGTTTGATTATGTGATGGAAATGTCTATTTGAGAAGGAGGAAGGTCATGGTTCTGGAAGTTCAAGCAGTTTTCCACCTAGTAGCCATAAGTCAACGAGGAAAGGTCATGTTCCGATTGTTAACTGGCTGATCTGAGATACTCATTGCATTCAACAAAATACTGTTGAAGTCCCCTGATTCAGCAAACGAAGTCCTCTGGCCTCTTATACTTACAGTTGCCATGCGAAATACTGATTGGCTCAGAATCTTCTGGGAAACCAGCCCCAGCAAAATGTAGCAGTGTGAAATATAGCAGCAAGGCTTCTGACCTCATAGTAGTTTAGCTGGGAGGCTTCACTTCTTCACTTCACCCTGTGGAAGACAAACAGGGGTTTAAGCACCTTCTGTTGATTCAGTTTTAACCACTGCATATAGAAAACTAAAAAGAGTCAATGGAAAGCAAAGGGAGCTTTCCTTATACTCAAGCATCTCACCATACCTGAGGAAGTATGCCATGTTTCTAAGCAGAAATTGCCCTACCACGTCAGTTTCCCTTTAGCCCATGGCCCAGCAGTGTCCCATTTTGCTTGAGGATAGACTTCATTACCTGTGAGTTACAAAGAATTTTCTGCCTCCACTGCTTATATGCATAAAGAAACTTAATCCCCTACACTGATCGACAGCTGGCGAGAATCTTCTTGGAAATGCTTTATTTTCCCCTTTTTTGGTTTACATAATTAGATGATGATACAATGACATACACCATAAATAAAAAAAACCCCACTATATTTTCTGGTTAAACAGAGATAAAGGATTACACCATGGGCCTGATTCATACCCTGCAGAGTTGTGAATCAAGTGAAGAAACACTGAGAGAACTTGATGGAGCATGTATAACATGTCATTGGGCTTTACCATAAAAATATGTACCCATAAATCTAGGTGCCATAAACCAGTACTCTAACTTGTGATGAAATAAGGGAGAACAGAACTGTCTAAACCCAGCATTTTTTCCCCATGTTCCACTGACGCATTCAGTCATTCACATTTCATGTACAAAAATATCCCAAAATCTTTAAGATAAAAGGAACCACAGGGGCCTCTGGAAACAGTGACAGAAAACAACACACAATACAGTAAATAGCTCATAATTCCCAGGCAGATTTCACAGAGACACTGATCTGCAGGGGAAATTAGTGTAAAAGTGGGGTTTTCTTTTCATCCCTTCCAGAGTTTCAAACCTTTGATGCCGCCTGCCAAAGATTCCTTTTGAACAAAACTATTTTACAGTACCCTGTCAGTCATTCAAGATTTACGGGCAGAAAGTCAAACTTCATAACCTACATAGTCTTTGAAACTTAATTTGGCAAACTAAGTGCTAACTTGCCCTTCTGCAACACCATTTAATATTAGATACCTATGATACCTTAGATACCTAGAATCCTTTCTCAGTGCCAAAAAAAGCATTAGCAAGTCTGGAGTGTTGCGTTTTCATTTGTAATTTCATAGACAGTCAATTCCTCATCTTCTACCCAATTTAAAAATGTCACAATAATTAATTTGTTTTATCAGATATTTGCTTTCAAATGAAATTTTTGCTCCTATAACTGGATTGGAGTAGGGACTCCATTGTAGGGCAATACAGTCCATAAGGACTAACGATTTATTATACTCTGTGTTTGCCTATTGCTATTCAAACACACAAATTGGAAACTTGGCTGATTCTCTCTATCTATCAACAAAATAAATGAGAGGCTGAGTTAGACTGAGACTAGAAAAAATAAAATTTAATGTAAATCAGTGACTGACACCTTAACTGAGCAAAGAATTAGATGGATGGCAAAGGATAAAAATAGCAAGAATAAATGAAACACAGTGCAGACACTGACTCTCTGCTATACCTTATGTGAGAATGCATACTAGAAGATAGTACACACAAGCCCCAGGAGAAGCATTTCTATCTAGCACCGGTTAGGCCGATAGCTATGTATGATTACTGACACAGCTGTGTCTGCCTTCAGACACTTTCTTTACCTGTTTCCTTCATTTTTCTCTTTAATCACCTCTTACATTTTCTCTTCACTCCTAGCTGTCTGGGGCAGGCACTGTTTCTTTCTATTTGTTGCCATCTGGGGCCCTTAGGAATGCCCCAGGTAGAAATAAGCAGCAGAAGTAAATATAATACTTAAAAGCATACTTTCCCTCAAAAGGTTTGAATTAAGAGTAAGATATACACATTACAGGGATTAAATCCTTTCTCTCTACCCAATTTTTCAAGATGTAATTTTGCTGCTTTAAAAATTTTGCCCCGTAAATACATTGCAAAGTGACAAAACAAAGTGCCTTATCTTCATTTACAAACAGACTGAAATTCTTGCCTTCTTGAAATCATTACAGTCCAATGTAAAATTCTTTTCTGAAAGAAGGAGGAGAAACGGTTTAATGGGAAGAACTTACCAAGCAATCCAATTCTTCCACTTAAACTGCATTCAGCCTGCATGCTGTTGATTCAAAGCACTTGGCTCACAGTAAGGCTCTGGAGCATAAGAATAGCTTCTCTCTGTTACTCCCTATCAGCACATCATCCACCATCTAACAGTGTGCGTACTCCATGAGGAAAGCATTACGGTACTGAAGATGCATAGCTGCCACTCCCCTTTACAGCTTAAAAAACTTTTCCCATGGGTGATTCTGCACCATGATTCCCTGCTTCTCATTCAGACTTGTGTACTGCTCTGTGTAAATATACATGGGGGACAGCTTTCAGGAAAATGAACAATGCCCAGCACGTTTACTTTGCCATCTCACATACATGTGATAAGGCCAGATCTTTTTAATTTTACCTGAAAAGAATTAACTGACTAATGAACTGGCATGTTGCCTTCTAACAAAGACTAGATAAATAGGGTTTTAACTAAATGAAATTCTCTGTCATTCTTAAGGGTAGGTTCCGGGTAACAAAAAGGGAGAAGAGAGAAAAAAAGCATAACTCTCTGTTACTGTAGTGTTAACATAATTGTTCAAATTTGCAACAGTATTTGCAAAATACCTACTTCAATCTGTCAATGATTCAAGTGGACTACACATCTGTATTAATGCCGGTGCCAATAAAGTAACATCAAGTAGGACTCAAGGTGCATACAAAGGCAGCCTTTTACTAGGAGGTAGTTATTCAAACATAAAGGTTTGCTGTTATTACGATGGTGGAGAGAGCCACACTGTTTCAGTGGAATTTCAGAAAAGTGCTGATTCGAGAAGGTCACACTTATTTTTAGTAAAAATTTCCTTTTCAGCAAATACTCAGCTCTGGTTGGGCTCCTGGGAGTGATGCAAATGTTTTCACTTGCAACTGTGCTGAAATGACTTTCTAATCAAAAGTGCTTGTGAACACAGTGTCTGATGAAGCATGAGTGACTAGACTGTGATGCCGAGCAAGTACAGGCACTGTCTTCACACAAAAGTTTTGCAAACATCAATGGAGAGATCTCCAGTCAATGTAATGTAGACCACTGATGTTCAACCTGGCCTGCATTAAGCCATACCTGTTGAGGAGAACTTGCTTTGAGAACTCCAGTTCTCCCCACTCAAAATATGATCACTGCTCCTGGTGAAGGAAACTAATGGTGACAAGAAGAGTGAGTTTTGGTGGTGTTCTTTTATTAGTGGTCATGAGAATAAAATACAGCACTGCAAATATTTAAGAGCGTATTTTATAACCTGTGTCTAGTGCAATGACTTGCAGCCATTGAGTGGGTGGAATAGAAGATATTTCTTCCAAGTTTCAGACTCCTAACTAATCTGATTCTTGCATGCCCAAGACCAATACAAATACAACTTTCTGCAAGATACTTAAGATACTTCACTGCTCTGATTCTTCTTTCTGAAATTGATGGTTTCCAATACATATGTAAGATGACCTGTTTGGTTATTTCTGTGCTCCCTCCTTTCTGTCATACTCTAAGTATAAATAAACCATATGATCTCTTAATGTATATACAAACCAAAATTTTGCCTTCCTAAATGGAATAAGCTTTTCTATTTGCACACTGCATCCAAAAGGCGAACCACCTCCAAGTATGACATTTGGATACCGGTGCAATATAGTCGTTATTACTATTATATTTAATCACTCAAAGCCTATGAATACATATACATATAAATATACATATACATATAAATATACATATACATGTACCCCTTCACATACATAGACGCTTGACATAGAGGTATTTAATTTTATAAAAACGATGTTACTGGCATGATGGGAGTTTCTGAAGCTAGGAAAGTAATGATCATTCCAAACCAAGGAGAAAAGTCTAATTTTTCCATGCCAAGTGGCTCCCACTGTGGTGATCCATGCCTGTCTGAGCCATCTAGAGGCCACCCTGATGAGCTCTGCTTTTTGCTGTCTGATATTTTTAGCATTTAATAAACAATGGTCAGGGTGGCAATGCATATAAAATAACTGCTTGGCTATTCCACTGGAAATGATTGCAAGGCTGTTGCCATAATACCCTAGTGATCAGGTTATTGTATCTACAGCTTCTAAGTTCCAGCAAGGTTGTACAAACAGCAAGAAAAATCTTAAATGGAAGAGCTAACTTCCTGGTAAACTCCAGAAAAGTGTAAGGCCAGATTTAATCTTGAAAACAAATTCAACAGCAATGGCAATGGCTGCATTGATATATCTATAAATAACTACTGAAAGGGACATTCTTCCATGTTAGAAAACCTCCCATCTTGTTGCTTTGGCCTCACTGTGTGTTCAGCTAACCCCAGCATAATTCCAAGTAAAATCCAAGTATGTAACCATGTCAGAATTTTCCCATGGCACAGTAAGCCTCCTCAGTAATGGACAGGCCTTGTTACAGTCATTTATTACAAACCTTCTTTATACCATGGTGGGTTGTGTTCATACACGACAGCTGCATTTCGATACACAAATTATTAAGCTTAATGTGAAAATTTCCAGACAAAATTCAATGGTCTGTGTTACGCATGAAGCAAGACCAGAAAACCTAATGGACATAAAAAGCCATGACTGTCTTCAACAAATTCTTTTATTTCTATAAACATGTAGAAATAACTTACTCTTCAAAAAGATAGTAACTCTAGTGAGGAGAAACAGCACTTAACCAAACAGTGAGGAAACTAAAAGCTGAAGCCAAATGAATTTCAACTACTGCATAAGGAAAAATTCATGACCAAAAAAGTAGCAGCCTCTGTGAACTGACCCTGGAAATGCGCAGCAAACAGCCATTCTCACCATATTCAGCAATTTCTGGGAAAAACAAAAGGACCGTCAAAAAGCAGGGAAGAAACTGTTCTGAGCTTCATAACAGAGATAACAAAAAGATCTGAGATTCTCTTGT